TCCAAAGGTGACCTCTACATGTCCAGGCACATGGGCCATCATGCACGTGTGAACATGCACAGGAACATGTACTTAGAAAGACACACACACAAAAGAAAGAAAGTAGCAATGAAATGGGCAGGTTGGAATGTAATGAGTTGGAAAATGTAATGATAATTTCTTTCCAAGACTAAAATTAGAAGAGGGAGAACTCCCCTCCTTTGTTTTTTGTTTTTTATTTATTTTATTTTATTTATTTATTTTTTTTTGAGGCAGGGTTTCTCTGTGGGATGGTCTGGCTTTGTAGACCACACTGTGCTCACTGAGATCTGCCTGCCTCTGCCTCCCGAGTGCTGGGATTAAAGGTGTGTGCCACAACAGCATGGCATAGTCTTACTTTTTATAGCTTTGCCTTAACTCTAAATGTAATAGTCTATCACAATGTTAACAGATTAAAGTGTTTCTGGCTAATAAAATTTGAATTTTAAGGCAACACCGCCACCTGGCGGCGGTTGTTTTGAGTGTTTTCCTTAATCTCTCTAATGTGCGCAGAGACGCCGCCGTGACACCACTTTCTAATGCTTCCTGCACCATTTTACATTCTCTGCTGCGACGTCTGAGGGTTCCAACTTCTCTGTGCCCTCAACACTGGTTAGCTTCTCTCTTTTTCATTTGTAGCCATCTTAGTAGCTGCAAACTGATGCAGTCTCGTGGTATTTAGGTACATTTCCTTATATTTAACGGGGCTGTACTTTTCTCCATCGCCCGACTGGATACTTGTACTTTATGAGATAGATGATTTATACATTTGATTGTCCACTCTATCGATTGTCCTTTCGATTTCTATTTATTTTAGACAGGGTCTCATGTAACTAGGCCAACACCAAACTCACTGTGAAGTTAAGGATGGTCTTGAGCTTTTGGAAGCTGTAACCCCCCCCCCCCCTCCCCAATCCTGAATTTCTTGTAAACAACTTGTTTTCCTCTGCTCTGAGACAGCCTGCAGCTGCTCTGAGCACGAGACCCTCAGGAGTTCCTGATGACAGGGGAGTGGTTTCTGGTGCGTTTGGCTGGGACGTGGCTATCAGTTAATGATCTCTCTATAAACTGCCCCTGAACACAATAAAGGGGGCATTCTTGGGGCATCCTGGGATCAAGGATGACCTGTGTCTCTGTCTGTTAGTCTTTGTGTGTTTCAATCTTCAGCCCCTTGCCCGGTTCCCAAACTGTATGGTAGCGCCTGGAGCGAGGGCGTGGTGTGCTACATTGAGCTCCTGATCTACCTGTCACCACTTCCCTAGTGCTGGGATTACGGTCGGTCGTGTGCCAACATGGCCAGCAGTCTTTCCATACCTTGAGAGCATCTTTTGAGGCACAAGTATTTTGAGTAGCTGAAAAAAGTGGCTCAGAGATTAAAGTAAACTCCCCCGGTCCTCCCAGGAACCCGGGTGGTAAATGCAGGGCAGCTGTGGTACTCGCCTATAACTCTGGCCTGTTTCCTAGACAAACCGGTTAGTAAGACTAGCCATATTAGACTGAGAGACACCGCCTCAAGGAGTAACGCCCCTGACGTCAACCTGTAGCCTCCACATGGATGCAGACACATGCTTATGCGCACCACACACTTCTATCCCCATACATGTAAGAGCTCGCATACACACATGTGAATATTGGAAAAGGGAAACTAAACACACTCAGGAGGGAGAAAATCGGTTTTACTGAGGACAGGGCGAGGGGCAGCGAGTGGGCGGACAGTCCTGCAACTAGTCTACCCTCTGCCTGAGGACTTTTAAACTCCCATGGATCCCAGCGCCTGGCACTTCTTGTCTGTGCTTTCGTTGCTCTACGGAAAAATCCATCGCCAAATGCGAGGCTATGACCGTTGACCTCTGTGTCTTCATCTGAGAACTTTGCAGCTCTGGTGCTTGTGTTCAGGGCTTTGATCTATTATGCACTGGTTTTTCCACGAAGGTTTGCTCCAGTTATACGCCTGTGGAGTTCTAGTTATCTCGATACCTTGCAGAACAGGATGTTTTGGCCCAAACTGAATGGCATCTACATACTTGATGAAAGCAATTGCCAGCAGTTGGGTGAATTCCTAGGCTGCCGAGTCCATTGCGTTGGTCTACAGGCTGACTCTTTTACTAGTACCTTACTAGCTTTTTGTTGTTTTGGTTGAGAAGGAAGTCTGAGTTTCATCTTGCATTACTGTTCTGTCACTGTGATGAGACACCGGGTGAAGACAACTTAGAAGCGTTTGGGGGTGCAGTCCGTTCTGTCAGGGAAGGCAGCCGGTCACTGCATGCAGAGCCAGGAAGAGAGATGAATAGCAGAACTCAGACTGTCTTCTTTTCCTCCAGTCCTAGAGCCCAACCCATGGAATCGGGCCACCTAATAGTGTTAATCCTCCCTCCCCAGTCAAACTTTTCTGTAAACACCCTCGATTATCCTTTCAGAGAGGTGTTTCCATGGCGATTCTAATTCAGCCAAGTTGACAATGAAGATCAATCACTGACCTGTTACTCCTCTTTATCGTTAACACCCCAAATTGGTGTGTTACAGTTGATAGAATTAATGATCCAACACTGACCTATCTGTGAAGTCCATGGTTTACCTTAGCGTTAATGTGTTATGCTGCACATTTTACGGTGTGTCTTGTTCAGGGACAGCATCTCACCATGCAGTTCTCCGACAGAGTCCTGCTCAGTTACCCAGTGTTAACCCTGAGTTTGCTATGGAGCCCAGGTGGGCTTTGGTCTTGTCACTCTCTTCCTTCATTTTTCCAAGAAACTGGGATTATAGAGGTGTCAACATGGCTGGTTTTTTTAAAAATTAATTTTGGGGAAGCTGCAGCGCTGGCTTAGTGGTTAAGAGCATTGACTGTTCTTATAGAGGACCCATGTGGTGGCTCACAACTATCTCTAATTCCAGTTCCAGGGATCCAATGCAATCTTTGGGTTCCAGAGAGAAATGCCTACATAGGAGACACTGAAATACATGACTGACAGACATAAAATAGTAATACACCATCATATACCACTGTATGGTGGCAGAGCATGCCTTTAATCCCAGCACTCAAGAGGCAGAGGCAGGAGGATCACTGTGAGTTTGAGGCCAGCTTGGTCTACCTAGTGAGTTCTGGGACAGCTAACAAGACTGAGTCTTCCTTGCCCATTCACCACCTATATCATTGCTTTTGTTTTGTTTTGAGATAGGGTCTCACTACACAGCTTAGGCTGGCCTCAACCTCCTAAAGGCTAGGTAGAAGCACAGCCCCCCATGTCTGCCTTGTATGCTACATTAATCACTACTGTGGAAGGCTGTGGGTAGCTCTAAGTCATATTTTAACACTAGTCAAAATAGTGCAGTAGACTTAATCGTTTAATTATTGTTTAATTAAATCAATAATTTATTTAATTTCTGAGATAGGTTCTCACTAGATAATGTCACCTGCCTCAGCCTCCAGAGTGCTGGAACCAAAGGTGTATGTCACCACGCCTGACTATCTTTATGTGTCTGTGTATGCCCATGTGTGGGGGTGTCTGTGGAGGACAATCAGAGCCCCAGGAGCTGTACACGCAGATGGTTGTAAGTCACCAGATATAGGTGCTGGGAATCAACCCCAGGTCCTCAGCAAACACAGAATTAATTTTAAAGCATGGAGCCATCTCTCCAACCTTGTTATTTATTTTATTAATTTAAAGATTTAATTTAGGGCTAGAGAGATGGCTCGTGGTTAAGAGCACTGGCTGCTCTTCCAAAGGATTCGGGGTTTGATTCTCAAAACCCACAAGGCAGCTGACATCCGCCTTTAACTCCAGTTCTAGGGAACCTGACACCCACTTCTGGCCTCTTCGGACAGTTACAGACAGGAAGAGTACAGACATGCAGGCAGGCAAAACACCCATAAACATAAAATAATAAAAATTTTAAGATTTCATTTTAACATACCTATAAAAATTGGCACTAATAATTTAGAAATAAACTTTCCACAAATGCATCCCTCCCACCTAGTTTAGGTGTGGGTTTACAAGATACCAGTTTTTTGTTTGTTTGGCTGGCTGGTTTTTAGAAACAGGGTTTCTCTGTGTGGCACCGACTATCCTGGAACTAGCTCTGTAGACCAGGCTGGCCTCGAACTCAGAGAGATCCACCTGCCTCTGCCTCTGGAGTGTTGGGATTAAAGGCGTGCACCACCACCGCCCTGAAAGATACCAGTTTTATGACTGAAAAACTTCATAATTTTCTTTTTCCTTAAGTTGGTTTCCTGAATTAGGCTTCAGATAATCTCTTTAGCATCTTTTCTACCGTTACTGTCTCGAAAAACCAAAAAAAAACAAAAAAAAAAACAAAGTACAAAACAATTTCATTTTCAGGGTGGCTGAGTTAGGTATAACTTCCAAGGCGAAACCGGATCCCAGAATCGATCTCATTCCAGGACTAAGGATTTTCTTCTCCAAATTTGGCTTCTGTGGCCCAGATAAACGATAAATTCTTGGGGGTGACCCTTGCAAAGACCTCTTCCAGAAGGTCCCCTCTCGTCGCCTGTCTACAGACACTGGAGGTCTGGGCTAAGTCCAGATTCGGTGGCAGCTAAAAGGCGACGCAGATCAGCTTATGCAAAAGCATTTTTCAGACGTCCACCACCTTTCCCGAGGGACCTCGGGGCGAGCGCCTTGGCTCGGGGATGGACAGGGGAGGACGACGCTCAGCACCCCCAGATCAGTCCCCGGTGAGCCCCTCCAACGGCCATCCTGCCGGACCCGAGCGGGCGCCGCGCCGAACCTCGGACTGCCCAGAAAGCCTACGTAGGGCTGATGCTCGGGACACGCCAGCAGTCCGGGGCAGAGACTGATTGTCCTCGCCAGACCCGGGAAAGGGGCGGGGCGGAGAGGGGCGCCTGAGCCGCATGCGCAGAGCGTTGGTTTCCTGGGTGTCGTTTGTGGAGCCGTAGGAAGTCCCGCCCGGTGCCCGGCGTGCGCAGGCGCACTCAGCGAGCTCCATCTTGTTGGGAAGCCGGTTCCCGAGCGGGCTCGGGGCGGGGCGGGACGGGGGGCGCGGCTAAATGCGGAGGGCGGGTTCGCCTGTCACTCACGGCTCGCCGCTGTCCCGCCGTTGTTAACAAGTCCTCCGAGCTGGGAAGGTCATGCTGCCCAACACCGGGTAAGGGGTCCGGGGTGGGTGGGGAGCGGGTCGCGAGGTCGCCCGTGCTCGCCGTGCTCCCCGGCGAGGTCCGGTGAAGCTGCCGCGCGCTCCGGATCTCCGGTGCGCCGTGAGGATCGAGTCGCTGGGACCCGCGGAGACAGCGCGTGCACAGGAACCCAAAGTTGTGTAGGATGGGGCGCAGCGGGGTTAGCTACCCCACAGGGAGGGTCGCGAGGGTCGGTGTCCCCGACATCCCAGTGTGGCCCCAGCCTTGTCTTTAGCTTGGCCCGGTGACAGCATTGCTTTCGGCTTCTAGGTGAAAGGTCTCTTGGGACAGTAACTTTAAACTTTCTGTTTGATTCCTATGCTCGATTGTAGAATAATAAAAGAACGGTGGTGTGTTTTGAAAGTGGTTTTCAAGTTAACAGCGAGTTAAAATGTTACAAGTATCTTTGGCGGCAGTTTCTTTTCTTTTTAACGTAAGGTGAAGTGTATTTGCCCCAGCATAGCCAGACATAATGGCATGAGATTTTAATCCCAAGAGAAGGATTGAGGCTATCCTGGTCTACATAGTGAGTGCTATGTCAACAAAGGCTACAGAGTGAGACCTTGTCTATGCCTCACCTCCCCCCCCCAAAAAAAACCCCTCACACATATATTAACACGGTTGTGAAGCCAAGTCGCCAGGACTTCTCAGTCTTGGGAAAATCCAAACAATGCCCATTAAGCAATGTTCTTTCAGTGTCTTTCGCACTACTTAGTCCTTGCCAAACTCAGGTAGTCTACTGTGTTCTATGAAGTTTGGGGTATCTTAACCCAGTGACATACCCGTTCTGTAACTAGCTTGAGACATATAGACAGCTAAAAGACTTAAATATTCAACTTCTTTCTGATATATTTGTAATCTTTACGTTTATAAACATATTTTGTATACCCTACAGGAACACCTCTTATTTTTTAGAAAATAGTAGCAAACTCCATTTTAGGCTTGCTGTTTTTTTTTTTTTTTTTACCTGCTGTGTCTTGGGGTGTACATAGGTTTCCAGTACATGCAACACTTCCTTGTCTTCTTTAATGGTTGCTTATTATTATTGAAGACCATCATTTATTTAACCTATTCCTTATTGTTGGATATTAAATCACTTCCAGTTGTTTTGTTATTTATTTATTTTTTATTTTATTTTGATTTTCGAGACAGAGTTTTTCTGTAGTTTTTGGTGCCTGTCCTGGAACTAGCTCTTGTAGACCAGGCTGGCCTCGAACTCACAGAGATCGCCTGCCTCTGCCTCCCGAGTGCTGGGATTAAAGGCATGCGCCACCACCGCCCGGCTTGTTGTTGTTGTTTTTATTCCATCTTTGCTTCCATTATTATTCTTTTGTTTTGTTTGAGTGTAGTTAGTCCTGGCTGTCTTTGAACTTGTTATGTAGACCAAACTGGCTTTGAACTCATAGAAATCTGCCTGCTTTTGCCAAGTGCTGGTATTAAAGGCCTGCACACTATGCCTGACTTCATTTTCTTTCTTCTGTCTCTTTATACATAGGTGAATGTACCTAGGATAAATTCTCGAAAGCGAAATTGCTGGATTGAAGAGAATATATATTTTAAAGTTTGATATTGTAAGACAGATATTGGGAGGCAGAGGCAGACAGATCTCTGTGTATTTGAGGCCAGCCTGGTCTACAGAGTTCCAGGACAGCCAGGGCTGTTAGACAGAGAAACCCTGTCTTGAAAAACAAAACAAAATAAAACAAAGCAAAAAGCAAACAGACAGACAGCTAGTCATCATCAAGAGGATTGCACAATTAAAGGCAATCAAAATTGAGAGTATAGTATCCAAACTTGCCAGTGTCAGCTTCTAAAGTTTCTAAATAAATACCCAAGAAGAGCCAGGAATGTAAAAAACAAAAACAAACGAAAAACTCAAATGAGATGGCTGGTTTTTCTAGATCTTAAAATAGTTAATAAAACTAGTGTAATTAAAATAGTTCTAATACATGAGTAGACAGAGTAAGCAATAAGTAAGCAAAACATTTGTTAATACAAATCCAATGGGCAGGGCTCTTCATTATAGTTAAAATTTGCTTGTATTTTTTCACTAGTGAAGATGAGACTCTGGCAATATCTGAGAAGACTGTGTCACAGCTGAAAGGAGATGCTCAGGGAGCGCAGCCGTGAGATGCATGCTGGCTCCTTACAAGCAATGCGCAGCCCCCGATAATGGAACTGCGCAGTCCGAAATGCCAGCTGTGCAGAGACTGGGATGAATGGTTTAAAGCCATCTCTGTATCTTCTTATTTACCTGCTTTAACCAATGAGGTCCTTTTGTCAATTGTGTTATCACTCTGCTCTTTAAGGCTGTTTTGCTTTTGTGACATGCCTGGAAGACCACACTACACCAAGGTCCTTTATTTCAGGTGGCATTCTAGTACATTATGGTCTTACAGTGTCTTATTTACTCATTTGGTGGTGCTGGGGATTGAACTCAGGGATTCGCATGCCTCAGCCAAGTTCTTCTAAGCTAAACTCCCCAGCCCTTACTGCTATACTTTTAATAAATATTTTACAGCAAGCATATATACATGTGTACTATATTCATATTTTCTCATCCACCTAAGGTTTATTTTGGACTAGGAAGTAAGTTAGGAAGCTCACTTCATTTTGGCTCGGATGGCTTTCCCACTGTCACAGCCAAAGTAACTTGATGATTTCATTCTTTCTTTTCTTTTGGTATACTTATACCGCTATCACGCATGAAGGTTTTGTGTGCCTAGGAATCTGTTTCTAGACTCTACCCTCTATTACCTAGTCTGTCTATTCATGTGTTAGAATGAAGTGATTTTTTTTTTGTTGTTGTTTGTTTCTCTGTATGTGGCTCTGGTTGTCCTGGAACTAACTCTGTAGACCACGTTGGCCTTAAACTCGTAGAGATCTGCCTGCCTCCTGACTGCTGGGACTAAAGGTGTGCACCACCACTGCCCAGCAAGAGTCAAATATTTTTAATTACTTTAGTTTTATAAGCTATTTTAAAATCTGGAAAAGCCAATTCTCATTTGGATTATGTTTTAGAATCTTCCTGGCTATTCTTGGGTATTTAGTTTAGAAACTTGAGAACTTGAGACTGGCTAGTGTATCTTTTTTTTTTTTTTTTAAAGAAGTCGTTATTCTTTTTAAAAATGGTTATAATTTCATCACATTTACTGTAATTTTGAGAAACTCCTAGTAAATAAGAGGTGGGTTGTCTCTGCATTTGCAGATTCTAGTTACCTCCCAGGGGCATTAAGAATGCCCATGCTATTGGCATCCTTATCCTAGTCTTTGCAGCTGAGGGCCTAGCAGACAGATCTGGCTGCCTCTGCTGCTCTGGCTGCCAGTGCCCTGGACTCCCGGTGAGCACGAGTGTGCCCTTTATTCTACTGGGATTCAGTCCAGCTGTGTTACAGGCAAAGGGATACGCCTGTAAATCAATTGTTGGCAGACATTTTTGTGTGGGTGCTTATCCTTAAACATCTCTTTATTTGGATTTTTAACTTTATTTTCGTATGTGTGTAGCATGAGAATACAGTGCCCATGTAGGCTACAAGAGGGGGTCAGGTTCTCTGGATCTGGGCTTAGTGTGAGCTGCCGCTGTGCGTGCTTAGTACTGAACTCTGGTCTCTACAAGAGCGCTGAACTCTCTTCATTAGCCTCTGAGCCACCTCGCTAGGCTCTAAACATCCCTTTGGTAGTTTATGTATACTTTTTGTTTTGATGCAGGGTCTCACTGTAGCCCTGGCTGGCCTTGAACTCACAATGTTTCTGCTGCAGTGTGCGCTACCACAGCTGTCTTCTTATGTGAGTGTGAGGAATGGAATTCAGGTCTTCAAACTTGTGGAAACTCTTTAATGACTGAGCCATCTTTCCAGGCCTCTACATGTCTAGCTCCTGTCCTGTCTTATTGACAGATCACATGGCATCTTTGTTCTCTCCTTTGACATGGGTGAGAGCCTGGAAAACTTTTTATATTCTCTAACCCGGCTCCCAGGTCCTTGTTCTCCCTTGTCCCCATTTAGAGGACTCAGGTCTCTGTTAGTATCTAGTAATTATTATCCAAAAACTCAGTGATTCCTTTTTCTCCCCCTCTTCTCTCCCCATTCCCCCTTCTCTCTTCTGTCTTTGAGGTAGAGTCTCTAACCCAGGTTAGCCTGGAACTTACTTTATATTCCAGGCTAGTCTTGAACTCTTGGTAATTCTTTGCCTTAACATTCCAAGAGCTAGGATTTCAGGTGTGTTCAGCTTAGAACTTCTGTGTCACGCTTCTAACATGACGGTTTATTTTTTCCCTTGTGGCACTAAGTATCAAACCCAGGGCCTCATACTTACTAAAGCATGTGTGTGCTTTTGATCTATTGGCCTATACCCTCGACCTCAACCTTTTTCTTTTTTCTTTTCGAGTCAGGGTTTCTCTGTGTAACAACCCTTACTTTGTAGACCAGGCTGGCCTTGAACTCATAGAGATCCACCTGTCTCTGCCTTCCGAGTGCTGGGATTAAAGGCCTATGTCTCTACTGCCCAGATTTTTTTAAACAATTTTTGTTTTGTTTTGTTTGGCTTTTTAGACAGGGTTTCTTTGTGTAGCCTTGGCTGTCCTGGAACTTAATCTGCAGGGCAGGCTGGCTTCCAGCTCCCAGATCGACCTGCCTCTGCCTCAGAGTGCTGGGGTTAAAACTATGTGCCACCATGCTGGGTTTATCATAGTCTTTTGTTCAACAAAAGCTAGAAGGTCAAGCCAGAATCCAGGACTGGGAAACATGCTTTTTCTCTCGGTGGAAGGAGTGTCCCAGAATTTGTGGTTATCTTTGAGATTTTCTTTGATCCATAACAGGGCCATATAAGATCTGGTGGTTGATTTGTGAGGAAGGGGCATAACCAACACACTCCTCCCCCTTTACATGGGCTAACTCAGGATCCTGTGTACCGGAGGCAGCCACCCTCTCCTGATCTCAATTATTTGATTGGATTTAGAGTCATCAGGTGCCAT